AACGAAATTTACCAAAGGAATCGCCTTTTCCCTTTTACGAGTAAATGTTTACATGGCACTTTCCACTGAAGATGCCAGCTAAATGTCTGGGAATGTGCCAAGTCAATGGTCCATATACACACACATGCCCACACACATTAATATACACATTTGGGTATAAGAGAATTTGCTAAACTATTCAATATCCACATATGCCTAAATATTTTTTTCGTTATCAGTGAATATAGCATTTAGGATAGAGCCGGTCAGTCTTCTTTTCTTAGTGGTGATTTGAGATTTTTGCAAGAATGAATCCCAATTGTGATGTTCGACATGGGACAGGACGAACGAGAGCTCAGCCAACTTTCACCCGAAACTATGAAGGATGTCTGGTGAACGTTATGTTATAGACAAATGGCTGCAGAACAACACGAATCAGTCGTCTTCTTGTGAGATGAACCTACAAATCTCATCGGTATGCACTTTCATGAGAAATGAAATTCTCCACAACAATGAACTTCATTGGCATCCGTGACCTATTCAAATGGATGTAGGAAACTGCAACTATCAACCTTCAATACCTCCCAATTAACCTGAGTTGCCTTGACGCTTGTATTGTTGTGCATATAATCGACTTGATGGCAAAATGTGCTTGCATGCGGCTGAACATGCTCTAACAGGCTCGGTCGACCAGTTCAAAGAGGCCTTGAAGAAGGAGCTGTGAAGAAGAACCGGTGTGCACAAGTGACAATCCTCTTGAATGGGCTGTGAAGAGGCGGCATGGTACCGATATCCTACTCTTTAGGCTGTTGTGATATCTCAGACCAGAATACTCCCGTCCTCGCCTGGAACCTTTCAACGTCAAGACTGCGGAAGCTGGTGAATTATGTGTTTCTGTTGGCAAACGCACACGTTACGCATAGTTGTTGGTGTGCATACAAGCGGCCTGTTGTCAAGATGCGTTCGGCAGGAGTGTGTCAAGATATCCGCGTCATCTGTGAACCACGGCGAGGACACAATTGCCCAGTTGACGTAGACAGCTGACGGCCAGTCGGCTCAAAGGGACACCCGATTGCCCCGACTACGGGCCCGCTACTGTCAAGTGGCCAGTCGGCATCGACCTCGGTTGCTGGCGGTGTCGGCCATTTGTGCTGGGTCTTCGCGTTCTATCGCATGCCAGTCCACCTTTGCTTGTTCACCGCTTTTTATCCTCTCCTCTGGCTCTTCCTCACCGTATCTCCATGGGCGTTGACCAGACCAAATCCGGCTAATCTGGTCTGATATAATGCCTAAAGCAGATATATTCTTTCAATGCAAAGAACAGGCGAAAGCAGACTGTTCAGGTCATACCAATGTCCTGGCAGTAGCCAAGTTCATGACTAACTCTCACCGAGATTCCAGATGTGCAACCCCTTTCCACCCCGAAATCCACCCTCCGCTCTGCCCATCCCCACATCTTGAATCGTGTAGGCCTGCTTTCACGTCCGAAGGGAGTCTGAAATGCTTGTGCATTCTCACACCGGTCGTCCAAGATGTGGCTGTGTTTGTTAGTTGTGTGCCTCTTTTGGCAGATGCACACTGTGCATTCAGTCACTGTGTCCACCGGCCCTGGCTGTGGCCGGTGCACAGTCTCGGGTTCGGAGAACACACATGTTCGTATGCATGAAGTGGCAGCTTTACTGGGCCAGACACATGTGGTTTGCCACTTCTGTTCGCTCGCTCGAATGGGCGTGGGTTCAGACCTTTACTGCACAATCTCGAGAGCCTGCTCCTCTTGGTCCAATTCTGTCGGGGCCGGGCGAGTCTGGGCCCGAGGACGGGCCAAAAGCGAGGCGAACAATGATGCAACAAACACAATGAAGCCATGAGGACTAAGTATTTTGGTAATTAGACCGGAAACCGATTCACTCTGCAGAAACTGATGGGACGAATAATTTGTCGAAAAAATCCATCTGTCTGTCTGCCTGCAGAGGTTGTTAAGCCCAAAAGTCCGATAGGGTTGTGCTATCCAACATTGCTAAACCCTCATCTTCACGCACCTCCTTCCGTCTGACAATGGCTGTCACTTTTCTGTTAGTTCGTTGGCCGATCAACTCAGTCCGGCCCGAGAATCTGTGGCCCTTCAAAGAGCCAGACACGCAACATGATATGGCCAAATCAAGCCGCCAACTTTGAGCAAGCTAAGCTGATTAAATGAGTCTGTTCTTATATTCATACTAAAAAGGCTTTCGAAACTACCATTCTATATTGAATAAAAGTTATATTCTTCCAAGGTCAAACAAGATGATGAAGGAACGATATATCAATTTTTTAAATCATTTAATTAGTTTAAAAGTAGCTTTTAGAGGCCACGAGTATAACAGATATACGAGATGCGTTCACCTTATTTCGTTTAATGTGATGAGGGAACTGATAGGTGGATTTTCCTACAATCACACGAGTAGACCCTGTGTTTCCATTGAAGATCGCATAGCCTTGCTTTCTCATAAGGCTTTTTTATTCAAGCAGGAGTAGACTGATGTTTCGAGCTTGCCTCATCTGGTCCCATCAGCACCCCCAACGGGACTCGAAGTGTAACAAACAATTTCGAAACGTTAATCACTACGCCAAATTACCACGAGTGTCCTTGGGTCACAGGGCAGATGTGAACTTAAAGCAAGGCCGGGCATTTTTCCATATGACATTCTGTAGCAGAATTGTCGATAATGCAAAGTTGTATTTGCTAAATAATCCCACTACATTACTTATTTTTCGTTCATAAGCAGGTTTTTGAGACTTCCAGTAGATCATATAAATGAGGTGTATTCACTCTATTTCGTTTATGGTTCGCTGTATTGCAACACTGTAACCTTAAAACAAATAGAGTGAATACACCTCATTTATATGATCTACTTATTACTTATAAGTAATATAGTCGAATGCTTTAGCAAATACAACTTTGCTTTATCGACAATCCTACCGCAGAATGTGATATGGGAAGAGGCCTGGCTTTCTTTGAAATCATTACTTACCCTGTTACCAAAGGGCGCTCTTGTCAATGCGTGGCCTAGTGATTAACGTGTCGAGATTATACGCTGCGCTACAACAAACCGGGTTCGAGTCCCGCTAGGGATACTGTCAACACTAACGTGCGGTCGAGACTGCAGTCCACTCTGAATGAGAACACCTGTTAAGAATGCAAGGTTAAGTGAAATTCAATGCAAACGTATGATCTACTCGTATGATTGTGGGGAAATTCAACTACCAGTCCCCTTATCATCCGAAACCAAATAGGGTGAATACAACGCGTTTTCATTGAATTTTACTTGGCCTCTTTGCTTCCAAAGTTATCTCTTGTCGAGATTGACTGCGATTTCGACCCCACCTGAACTGGCCTCATCAGCACCCCCAGCGGGCCTCCGACCCGGTTTCCGCTAATGTAGCACTTAGTCTCGCTTCACTTCTACCATTGCCCCTGTGCCACTTCAGTCCTGGGAAAGCTGTATTGTCCCATAATTCCATTAGTAATCTTCATGTTTACGCTCAATTTCACATTGGAATATACGCAGCACTCTCTGCTGGAGGTGCTGATGAGACCTGGGCAATTTAGGAACTGCAGTCCAGCCTGGATGATAATACTTGATGAAAAGTAAAGCCAAGTGAAAACCAATGGGAACTTGACTTTTACTCACAAGGAAGTGATTTTATCTCGTCTTTACAACTTGGTCGTGTTGTGAGGCTAAACTAGTTTGGCTCAGCTTGTCCGAAGTCACACAGCAAGACAAGGGAAGTCCATCATTTGACCAAATTTCTGCTGAGCCATCTTCCTACCCCTTAGTTGTGTTAGCAAGAAAGTGTGATACGAGGATATGGCGTAGGTAGATGCATCAGGATAGAACAAGGAGTAATGACATAACCGTTCGGCAGAAAGTTGCTCAAAAGATCGACATCATTTGTATCCTTGACAAGACATAGCATGGAGCTAAGAGTGGCAAGACTCACTGATGAGGCTTCCGAAACGTCTACGAATGCGCCAAATCCACGGCCCAACGCTACCATGACAGGGGACTTCGGACAAAGTAAACCCAACTAGGTCGTCTTGACAATACAATCAAGTTGCGACTTCGAGGTCAAACTACTTACAAACATTTAAGTATCGTTTCGAGACTACCAGTAAATCAGTAATATGAGATGTATTCACCCAATTTCGTTTATGGTGATGAAGGACTGGTAGA